AAGGAGGAAGTGCTTGAGGAAGTGCTTGAGGAGGAAGTGCTTGAGGAAGTGCTTGAGGAGATGCTTGAGGAAGTGCTTGAGGAGGAAGTGCTTGAGGAAGTGCTTGAGGAAGTGCTTGAGGGCAAGACAACAATGTTTGCTCAGACTTCTAGCCACATGCGACCAACTTTGCTTTTCGACAACCGGTATTCAAAGGGCTGCCATGCCCCCTGCATAGCGGTGAGGCTACGATAACCAGACATGAAGATACTATTCGCACTCCCTCGAGCAAACCCGGCTCTGTTCAAACGAGGCTGTTGGATCATCCCAAACCGTCCCCATCCCAGCCAGCCATGGCTGCATTCCGTTCTCTCGTACCCTGCAACTACTTCCCATTCTCGAACCTGCATTGCGTACCTTGCATTCGCAGGGGTCTAGAGAGAACGCCAAAAACGCACGCTCCTGTATCCATCCTTTGCTTCAAACGAGACTCATGGCCTTTTGAAGTACTTTTCTCATCTCTGCTTGACCTGATCCTCCTTTTTGTTGCTACAAATACACCACACACAAATCCGGGGTCCTGGACATCGACTTCATCAACTTCACGTTCCAGTTTGTTGTGGGGGACGCTAGTTCCAGGTTTGCATTAGGCTGATCGGAAATGCATTCTAAGATTAGCTGCTGAAAATACAAGGTTGCAGAAGCGGGCAGCAGGCATGTCGCTGATCTCTCCACCAACCCCTGTCACTTGTTTTCTCTCTCCCCCCTTGTCACCTGTTTTTTTCTTCCCCTCCCCCGACAATTGTTTTTTCTCCCCCTCCCCTGTCACCTGGTTTTTCCTTTTCTTTCCCCCGACACTTGTTCTTCTTCTCCCTCCCCCGACACCTATTTTCTTTCTCGTCTCCATATCATAGGACAAGGCATATGGAACATGGAAAAGCCGAGTGTGAGCGACCTGGTTAACCAGGTACGTCAAACTGTGAGAGATATCAAACGATACACTAGCTCTAGACGCGACTTGACGGACTTAATCACTGAATTGGGGAATCTGAGAGCAGCAGCAAATAAGTATATCCCATTATCGATAGCAGTCGAGGAATTACTCTCGCGCCAGCAAGAAAGTCAACAGATAAGACGACTTAGTGTCTTTTGGGACTTTTTTCTTCGAGACGAAAAAACCAAAAGCGAGACCGATAAGCAGCACCGCAGAAATATTGAGATACGAAAAAGCCTAAGAAAGGCCGGATTTTATACAGCTTTATTCATTGGCATAAGCTTCACCGTCGAAGGTTTTAAAGTTTTCGACAATAATGATATCCGAGAAATATGCACACTTGCTAGAGAGTACATGGAGACCTACTCCCTCAAGGACTGCTTTCTCCGTGTTGGATTCTACAAAGTCACCCAAAAATTGGTAGGACAAGTCTCTGAATGGAAGTCCGGTATGTTTTCAACTCTGTCAAGACAAGGCTTAGAATCTCACAGGGAGAAGACATAACGCAATTCATATGTGATGCTCTCGAAAAGCATGCCGGAACCTCTAAAAATAAAGACTCAGCAAACGACGACCATCCAACAAGCAAGCGCAGTAGGAGTGAGGGAGCCATTGACGGAACAGCCAGTCCTTTGCAGAAGAGGGCGAAAACAGTCGCCGATTCCCATACCGAAGTGCCAACCGCCGCAAATACAGGACGATGTCTTCAAGAGCATCAAACTCCAAATATCGGACCTCTAACTTCATCTCCCAGTGTCACCCAAGGTACATTCTGACTTTGGCAATCCCTTCGTATGCGCTAATTTAGATATAGATCGAGTTCTCAGGACACCTTTTTCCGGAACGTTTGTGCGTTTTATCGATGCTCAAGCAGGACTCAATATATTGAGGGCAGAACCGGATTTATGTGACCAAAGAACAATCTTAACTTTGGCTGAAAATTATTCGTGCTTAACACTCCATCCAGCGCCTGGTAGTAACCGAAACATATTTCAAGACAGGATTGCAGAGTTGGCAAAAGACGTCTCTCAAGGTATGTTCAACCCCCGAGGATTACTCGGCGTACGCTGATTGACCTACAGATTGGCCTCTCGGTGTTCCAAGAGACACAGATGTCTATCGCGTCAAGCGTGACGAAGGTCTACATCATGTGGGCACGGAATGGTGTAAAATCAAAGACAGAGCAAGACTACTTGTTTACAAAAACGGCTCAACATTTTTGACGTTCTTTTTGAATGACGAAAAGGGGGGAGGTCTCAGAGAACTTAAGGGTAGTTACCAGGTCCAACCTAAATAAGGGACATCTGTTCCAGCCTATGATAGATCTCGGCGGGTAAGTCATTTGGTCCCACATGTTTACCTTCCAGGTCTTTGTCACAGTCCGACGCCGGGCCATATATTGTTTTTGATTTTGGCCATCTCCAGGAGGTCACTACCCTTTGAGTTGGTCTCCTAGAGGTCACTGCCCTTTGAAACAGTCTCCAGAAGGTCACCGCCCTTTGAAACAGTCTCCAGGAGGTCACCGCCCTTTGAAACAGTCTCCAGAAAGTCACTGCCCTTTGTTTTGGGTTCGGCAAATCCAAAGGCAATGCGCCCTCAATCAGAATCATCCATCTTTTTTCTTCCGAACAAATTTCGTGCATCGCAATCTGAGAGACTTGAGGTATAACATACTCAAGTCCAATTGAAGTGATGTTGTACTTATATAAGTAATTGATGAATTGCGAAAAGAATTCCGGATCCACTTTACTTTTACCAAGCAGCGGACCCTGGTGGAATTCATAAGGGCGTAGTCCTTCTCCTGGGATATAAGTGAATTTATGGCCACAGAGTTCGTTAGGGTTGGAGGTTTTGTCTGGGACAGTTCGGATCAAATAGAAGAGTGATTGCGGACGGACTCCAAATGTCCCAACCGTCCCAATCAGATGGCTATCATGAGGCAATTCGAAGTGTTTATGCTTATCAACAAGCCCGAATATGTCTTGAACGTCAAATTTCTCCAACAACTGGCGTAGGGATTCGCGATGTCTTCCATGGTCTTGGTCTTGGTCTTGGTCTTTGTTTCCGTACGGGAGTTCGTTATGGCTACAGATATTAGCGACTGCGTTGTGAAAAAGTGATCGGAAACCGCACTATTTACGACCCTGTCTAAGATCGTGGATCGTAAGCGGCACCTGGAGTCCAGGGATCCAGTCGTCATTAACGCCGCATCGACGCATGACCAAAGCCATGTTTAGCCTTGAGGACTGACTTGTGGACGAGAAAACACTTTAAATGGTGCAACTCCGCAGTGTCATCAGACAAGCATGCGTTCATACAACACTGTGTTGTAGAATCTGTGCCACATCCAGCAGCTATACCATCTTAAGATGAAGAAGAGGAAATCTTGAGGGACCGCTGGGCGGAGAGGATGAGGACAAATAGGCGGGTTAGCACGTGTCATCAGGCTTAGAGTACGATATCTCCCAAGCGGCACGGGATTTCTTGCATATCAGGGCCCTGCATATCGAGGCCAGAGCCAGGTGATCAGCTTAAGCATCTGATTGATAATGTGATCATCCAGTAAGTAATTCCCTCATACCCCGCAGTGCCGGTTAATTATCGACTTGTGACGTCATGTCAGCCAATGACCGTGACGCACAACGCATCGACTACCCTACAGTACATGATAGTGCTTGCGCCTGATACCCATTGGGACACTAACAACGTCTGTGAAAGGGTGATGCAAGTCTACTAACAACACAAAAGGCGCTTTCCAAGCATGGCCACGTACGACACATCCCCTTGGTCACGTTCCGTATCACACTCAACAGGTCAGACGATTCAAACAGCATAGTGCAGACTTTTATTGGCGCTTAAACATTGTGTGTCTCAACATTGCCCCGGATGATCCCGCCAAACCCCGACCACAATGGAGAAGAAAAGCTCCTCGCTGAGGGGTTAGCCTCTTCATACAATGCGCTCACGAGATTGAATTATGAGTCACTCACTTATTCATATGTTTTGCTCCTGATGAGGGATTTTATTCCCTCCTATCTCCACTGACCAGATCAGGAAGCAGAACAGCGATGGTGGATCGTGGCGTGACTCTAAAAGCACTTTTGGCGTTTGAGATGCGTATGCGGGTCGGCACGAGCCATCGTGCGTTGAAAAGCGACCTTTGAGTGGTATGCATTCGAGTACTTTATCGCATATTCCGTGACCCTACGGAGTAGCTTGTTTGCGGAAAGCAAATTGCGTCGATTGATACATGCACGACGCAAATTCCTTCATACCCTATAGTTCCGGCTATTTATCGTCACGATGGGCCATGACCTCGGTGATAATAGAAGGCTACCCTACACTGCGCCTCCTCTTCTGGTACGTTTTCATTGCTGAGAACTTCTGCCATCACAATGGCAATCATTCGCGGCTGCTTCGAATCTCAACGATCCGGGCTCCTCACCGTTGACGTCC